AGATGAGTTTGATTATCAAACTCTTCGGTATAGATGAGTTTGAGCATCAAACTCTTCTGTTTCGATGAGTTTGATTATCAAATTCTTCTGTGTTGATGAGTTTGATCATCAAACTCTTCTGTATAGATGAGTTTGACCGTCAAACTCTTTTGTATAGACGAGTTTGACCGTCAAACTGAGATGAGTTTGACCATCAAACTCTTCTGTATAGATGAGTTTGATCATCAAACTCTTCTGTATAGATGAGTTTGGACATCAACATTTTCTTTTTAAGTGAATGTGGTCAACAAACTCTTCTGTATAGATGAGTTTGACCTTCAAACTGTTCTGTATAGATGATTTTGATCATCAGACATGTCTGTATGGAAGAATTGTAGCATTAAATTTGTCGGTATAGATAAGTTTAATTGCCAAACTTGTCTGTATAGATGAGTTTGATCATCAAACTCTTCGGTACATATAAGTTTGAGTATTAAACTTTACTGTATGGATGAGTTTGACCATCAAACTCTTCTGTAAAAATGCCTTTAATGCTCAATCCCCTCTGTATAGATGAGTTTTATGTTGAAACACTTCTGTATCGATAAGTTGTACATTTGCATTCTAGCCATGATGTAATGTTTTTTCTTCCCATTGAATCCCTTTATTGTATTTCTGTTTATATCCCTTCTATTTGTTTCTATGTTCTTCCCTCATTCCATACAACTCTTCACCCTCCTGCTCTTGTTTTGGGAAAAAAACAGAATTTTTGTTTGCAAAACAAAACTCTGTGTTCCGTAATTGATAGTAATGACAGTGTTGTACCTTAAGGAATTGTAAATGGAAATGAACTGTTTTTTTTTTTTTTTTGTGCGTGTGTGTCGCACAAAAAAGTTCTTGCCAGTTTGTTGATAGGTTTTCTTCTCCCCCCACCCACCCCTTCAGGGTAGGGTGCTCTGAATGTGTTGCAAATACTAAGTAAGTTGTTTAAAGTTTATTTAAACGTTACACTAGTTCAGGGAGTGGACAATATTGTGTTGAATGAAAGCAATTTAAAAAACATTGTTGCCAAAGTATGCATTGAGTGCTGAGTGGGTTTGAAGTTAGTGTGAGTTGGTTAGAAGCATTTGAAAATTTTAAATTAACATAAGTCGAAAGTGTTCTAAATGTTGCAAGTTGGAAATGAAAAACAATTATTTTTCGTAGAGGTTTTACATTTTGTATTTGAGTTCATGATTTATGAACTGCTGTGAGAAGGCCTTACAGGACAATTTTTGAAGGTAAAACATCATCAAATTATTTTTTTTTTTTTTTTTGCTATTTTTATATAAAAATGATTGCCAATTTCTGATAGATACATGCGCTGTCTTGTAGTTAATCTTTAAATTGTACTCCCTGACCCTAATTGTGATCTATCCCGAAGATTTCATCCCAGAAAGTCCTTTAAAATATATCCTAGTTTAAGACACCTAAATATGGTGCCTACTTTTAGGCCAACAGCTGCATTTGAAAATTCCCCAGGAACAGAGTTTTACAATTGCAATTTTCGCACTTTCCCTGCCTGCCTGCATAACTGCATCTTCATGGCCGAAACTTATTAGTTTTTGTGGTCGATATATATGCGACCAGATTTTTATGACAGTCATAAAGAAATAAGTACATAGATTTGCCATCAACACAGCCATTAAATATATTTTTTTATTATTATTTTATGACCGACCCCGTCAGTTGTGTCACCCCTTTTTATGTGGCCCCGTGCCAGGCAATGGCTTTCTTTTCCGTCGAGGATTTTTTTTGGTTTTTTATTTTCTGCTGCTCAATAAAAAAATGTCAACTGGCAGAAAAAGAGTTTCTTTTTTGCGCAACTTGATATGAGTTTTATATTCAATATGGTCCGGTATTTTGAAGCTTATAAATCATTTTTATTGCCAATGGCCATGTTAAGTGTGTTATATTGTTTCCGTTTCATTTGGTTTGTTAAGGCCAGGCATGGTCTGTCAGTCAATGATGTAGGCTCGTTCGCTCGCTCACATTGGAGTGTTGTGTGGCAAAGTCAGGCTGTTCCTACTCTGTCGTGTTCTGTGTTTTTTTTTTTTTCTTTTCGTCTGTACAAAACCAAAAATCCTTTTAAAAAATATTTCCGTTTGAGTTGTAAAGATTTTTTCATCATCGTCCGTTCGCTTGGTTCATACAACACATGAATATGTGTTTATGGCACGGATTTCTGTTATTGTCACATTGGTATTCGCAGTATTCTTTTATCCGGCAAATGTCTTTGGCTTTTAACTTTCAATCGACTACAGTTTTGTGCCGATTTTTTGCTGGAGGGTGAAAAATGAAATATGCTGGAATTGCTACATACTTTTCCGGCTGAGTTGGGTGGGATATTTTGGCCACCCAACGAAATGTTTGCAAATTGACTTAATTGGTTTTTTAAAATTCTTGGGATGAAATTTATAAAGGAGGGGGGGGGGGGGGGTGTTTAATGGAAAAATTACATATACACCAGCTTTTGATAGTCAAACTGACCTATACAGAAGAGTTTGATGATCAAACTCATAGATTCAGAAGAGTTTGACGATCAAACTCATCCATTCGGTAAAGTTGAAGCCTAATTGATTCAGAAGAGTTTGATGGTCAAACTTATCTATACCGATGAATTTGTTAATAAAACTCATCTATACCGAAGAGTTGGATGATCAAACTAATCCATACAGAAGAGTTTGAAGCTCAAACTCATTCATTCAGAAAAGTTTGAAGCTCTAACTAATCGATTTAGGAGAGTTTGCTGATCAAACTCATCTATGCCGAAGAGTTTGATGATCAAACTCATCTATGCCGAAGAGTTTGATGATCAAACTCATCTATACCGAAAAGTTTGATGATCAAACTCATCCAAACAGAAGACTATGAGACCATTCAGAAAAGTTTGATGATCAAACTCATCTATACAGAAGAGTTTGATATTCTAACTCATCTATGCCAAAGAGTTTGATGCTCAAACTCATCTACACAGACTTGTTTGATGCTCAAACTAAACTGTACAGATAAATTTTATGCTCAAACTCATCTATACAGAAGAGTTTGATGCTCAAACAGGTCTATACAGACAAGTTTGATGCTCAAACTGGTCTATACAGACAGGTTTGATGCTCAAACTAGTCTACACAGACAGGTTTGATGCTCAAACTAGTCTACACAGACAGGTTTGATGCTCAAACTCGTCTATACAGACAGGTTTGATGCTCAAACTCGTCTATATAGACAGGTTTGATGCTCAAACTCGTTTATACAGACAGGTTTGATGCTCAAACTGGTCTATACAGACAGGTTTGAGGCTCACACTCGTCTATACAGACAGGTTTGATGCTCAAACTCGTCTATAAGGAAGAGTTTTATGCTCAAACTCATCTATACGGAAGAGTTTGATGCTCAAACTCATCTATACGGAAGAGTTTGATGCTCAAACTCCTCTATACAGACAAGTTTGATGCTCAAACTCCTCTATACAGATAAGTTTGATGCTCAAACTCCTCTATACAGACAAGTTTGATGCTCAAACTCCTCTATACAGACAAGTTTGATGCTCAAACTCCTCTATACAGACCAGTTTGATGCTCAAACTCCTCTATACAGACAAGTTTGATGCTCAAACTCCTCTATACAGACAGGTTTGATGCTCAAACTCCTCTATACAGACAAGTTTGATGCTCAAACTCCTCGGTACAGACAAGTTTGATTCTCAAACTCCTCTATACAGACAAGTTTGATGCTCAAACTCCTCTATACAGACAAGTTTGATGCTCAAACTCCTCTATACAGACAAGTTTGATGCTCAAACTCCTCTATACAGACAAGTTTGATGCTCAAACTCATCTATACGGAAGAGTTTGATGCTCAAATTCCTCTATACGGAAGAGTCTGATGCTCAAACTCCTCTATACAGACAAGTTTGATGCTCAAACTCCTCTATACAGACAAGTTTGATGCTCAAACTCCTCTATACAGACAAGTTTGATGCTCAAACTCCTCTATACAGACAAGTTTGATGCTCAAACTCCTCTATACAGACCAGTTTGATGCTCAAACTCCTCTATACAGACAAGTTTGATGCTCAAACTCCTCTATACAGACAGGTTTGATGCTCAAACTCCTCTATACAGACAAGTTTGATGCTCAAACTCCTCGGTACAGACAAGTTTGATTCTCAAACTCCTCTATACAGACAAGTTTGATGCTCAAACTCCTCTATACAGACAAGTTTGATGCTCAAACTCCTCTATACAGACAAGTTTGATGCTCAAACTCCTCTATACAGACAAGTTTGATGCTCAAACTCATCTATACAGATAAGTTTGATGCTCAAACTGGTCTATACAGACAAGTTTGATGATCAAACTGGTCTATACAGACAAGTTTGATGCTCAAACTCGTCTATACAGATAGGTTTGATGCTCAAACTCGTCTATACAGACATGTTTGATGCTCAAACTCGTCTATACAGACATGTTTGATGCTCAAACTCGTCTATACAGACAGGTTTGATGTTCAAACTCGTATATTCAGACAGGTTTGATGCTCAGACTCGTCTATTCAGACAAGTTTGATGCTCAAACTGGTCTATACGGACAAGTTTGATGCTCAAACTGGTCTATACAGACAAGTTTGATGATCAAACTTCTTCTGTGTAGAGGAGTTTGACGACCGTTACAAGATATTTTAGTGATTTTTTTTTTTTAAATTTTAGAATTATCTAATAAAACCAATTGAGAGCATTATTTGTTGTGTATGTATGAGTATTCTGTAAGTTATGCTAAGCTCATATAAATTTCCGTAAGGTACTCTCTAAGCCAATTATTTTTCCCGCACCAAAATAAAAATCCTTTGTTTTTAAAAAAAAGTTCAAAAATAATTACTAAGCAACATTTACTTTATGCAAATATTTAAAACCTCCACCCCCTTTAAAACAATAAAACCAACAACAACAACAACAATGTATATGTATATAAACAAACCTTTAGTGCTGATGAGGGATTCGATGGCACGTATCACACCAACATTGTGGTCAAACATAACGGCAATTGTCTGTACGTGCCCCCTGGTATCTTCAAGAGCACATGCAAGATAGACATCACGTGGTTCCCATTCGATGACCAACACTGCGAAATGAAATTCGGTAGTTGGACTTATGATGGAAATCAGGTAAAGTGTGTGTGTGTATATCTGTGTGACAACAGAAAATATTTAGATATGTGTTTTTGTATATTTTGATGCATATGTATGAGCCCAGCTAATGTTGGCTACCATACAATATGTCTGAAGGACAGGAGAACTTGAACACAACCACAACCATTTAACAGCTACAACAATAAAGAAAACATGGACATTTTGAACCACAACATGGTTTGAAGTGACAAGGATTTCGTTTCCCCCGATTTCAAAAACAGAACATGTTATCCACACCAATAACCCATTGCAAAATAGCATTTTTACAAGACAACATCCCATCAACAAAAAAAAAAAAATAAAAACCCCAAAACAACAGCACCAATCACACAACACAATGAAATTTTGATTACAGTTTTCTTTGAGTTTTCTTTTTTTTTTTTTTTTTTGAAACACACAAACACAGATTTTTTGGTTTGAAAAGGGGCACGGGAAGGGAAAAGAGCAGGAAATTAAATTAAAGGTTAACATTTCTAAATTTATTTTAAATCACATTTGAGGTTGGACTCATTCCCACAAGGACGGGTTTGATGGCCAGTCTTAACAAACTACCGCCAATTGATGGCAAATTTAGGTGGAAATTTAAAATCACCCGAAATCTTGATTAAATCCAAAAACCCTCCTGTATTTGAGTCATTTTAAAAATATATAAAATTTTACAAAAATAAATTCCTGCTCTTTTCCTTTTGACCTTGCCAACCAACATCAAACACAATTTTTTTAAAATCTTTTTCATTGAAAACTTTTACTTAATTTGTATGAACATTTCGAAAACCAAACCACGTTTAAAATCGATTCTTTTTCATTTTCCTCTTTGCAATAAAATTTCGTTGTGTAAAAAACTATATTTTAATTTTCTTTTTTGTTTTTTCCTTTTTGTTGACGACAACAAAAATACTAACCAGCAAAGAAATTAATAACATTTCACTGCGTTTTTGTGAATTGCAAAACCAGATATAAATAAAATGATTTTTTGTTGAAACAACACGTGAAAAAATATGTTTGTAACACAGAACACGGTTTCTAATACACTACACGTAAAACACGTTTCTTTCAATGGCGAATGGACAGTGGATATTCTATAAATTAAATAAAATTGTGTCATGATATAGGATGATGATCAAACTCATCTATACAGAAGAGTTTGACGCTCAAACTAATCTATACAGAGGAGCTTGATGATCGAATCCATCTTTACAGAAGAGTTTGACGGTCAAACTCATCTATACAGACAAGGTTGATGATCAAACTCATCTATACAGACAAGTTTGATGATCAAACTCAACTATATAGACAAGTTTGATGCTCAAACTCATCTATATAGACAAGTTTGATGCTCAAACTCATCTATTTAGACAAGTTTGATGCTTAAACTTTTCTATATAGACAAGTTTGATGCTCAAACTTTTCTATATAGACAAGTTTGATGCTCAAACTTTTCTATATGGACAAGTTTGATGATCATCTATACAGACAAGTTTGATGATCAAACTCATCTACTGAGACAAGTTTGATGATCAAACTCATCTATACAGACAAGTTTGATGATCAAACTCATCTATGCAGACAAGGTTGATGATCAAACTCATCTATACAGACAAGTTTGATGATCAAACTCAACTATACAGACAAGGTTGATGATCAAACTCATCTACTGAGACAAGTTTGATGATCAAACTCATCTATACAGACAAGTTTGATGATCAAACTCATCTATGCAGACAAGGTTGATGATCAAACTCATCTATACAGACAAGTTTGATGATCAAACTCAACTATACAGACAAGGTTGATGATCAAACTCATCTATACAGACAAGTTTGATGATCAAACTCATCTATACAGACAAATTTGATGATCAAACTCATCTATACAGACAAGTTTGATGATCAAACTCATCTACTGAGACAAGTTTGATGATCAAACTCATCTATACAGGCAAGTTTGATGATGGAACTCATCTATACAGACAAGTTTGATGATCAGACTTATCTATACAGACAAGTTTGATGATCAAACTCATCTAGACAGAGTTAGTTTGATCATCAAACTCCTCTGTATAGATGAGTTTGATCATCAAACTCCTCTGTATAGATGAGTTTGATCATCAAACTCATCTATACAGAAGAGTTTGAGGATCAAACTCATCTATACAGAAGAGTTTGATGCTCAAACTCATCTATATAGACAAGTTTGATGCTCAAACTCATCTATATAGACAAGTTTGATGCTCAAACTCATCTATATAGACAAGTTTGATGCTCAAACTCATCTATATAGACAAGTTTGATGCTCAAACTCATCTATATAGACAAGTTTGATGCTCAAACTCATCTATTTAGACAAGTTTGATGCTTAAACTTTTCTATATAGACAAGTTTGATGCTCAAACTTTTCTATATGGACAAGTTTGATGCTCAAACTTTTCTATATGGACAAGTTTGATGCTCAAACTTTTCTATATGGACAAGTTTGATGCTCAAACTTTTCTATACGGACAAGTTTGATGCTCAAACTTTTCTATAAAGACAAGTTTGATGCTCAAACTTTTGTTTTATGGAATATCCACTGTTCCACATCCCTTGCCAAAAAGGACACTCAATATTTTCAATTAATAATATTTTATACAGAGTAAAATACAACACAAAAACACTTGCAATACACCAAAACTACAAAACAAAAAAAAAAACAGAAAAAAAGAACAACTACAAATTTTCTACGTTAAAACAAAAAACCAATCAAAAATTTCTACAAATATTGAATACAGAAAAAAAACCCTATCACGTTCAGCTACGCCAACAACCAACCAAAAACGAGGTCTTAATTGGAATCATGTGTGAAATAACTTTTTTCAAAAATCCTTTTTTTGGTATTAAAGAAATCAATTCAAATGAAAAAATTCATTTCAACTATTTTGCATGACAGCAACAGAATAATGAAACAAAAATGAAGAGAACAAAAGAAAAAAACAACTGGCAGTTGAAATCGATAAAAAGATTTCACTGTAAACAGTTGAGAAAAGCCACTATTAAAAATTTTGTAGAAAATTTGTTAAATGAATTGAAAGAAAATGGGTGACAAAATTTAATCGTTTGTTAGCCTTGCAAAAAAACCCGAATTCAAATTGGAATACAAAATTTTTAACGTTTGTAAAGACTCTTAATGAAATTGACACGAATCGAACGAAAATCGAAAACAATTACTAATCAAATACACACACACAAAGACACTTACACTCTACACACATTCCTGGAATCTTTAAAGGAGAAAAAAATATTTTTTCGTTTCAGTTTGAAAGCCATTTAAATTGGAATTTACAGTTACGGCTAAGGGTTAATTTTACGGTTAAAACTATGCTTATATTTTCACTCTCTCTCTGACTATTTTTGACTCTCTTTATTCGCCCTTAGTTTTGACGGTAATATTTGCCCTTAGTTTCTTTTTAATGAAATGGTTTTGATTTTTTGTAGATTATTTTTTTTTCAAATAATTGAAAACCTTGGCATTTTGAATCATACATTTTTAAAGTATATAATTTTTTAAAATCAAACTTTGATATACTTGGTTATACCAAAGAACCACCACCTATTATTTGATATGGAGAAGTTTGATGCTCAAACTCTTCTATAGAGATGGGTTTGATGGTCAAACTCTTTTGTCCAGATGAGTTTGATGGTCAAACTCATCTGTGTGAATGAGTTTGATGGTCAAACTCTTATGTATAGATGAGTTCGATGGTCAAACTCTTATGTATAGATGAGTTCGATGGTCAAACTCTTATGTATAGATGAGTTCGATGGTCAAACTCTTCTGTATAGATGAGTTTGATGGTCAAACTCTTCTGTATAGATGAGTTTGATGGTCAAACTCTTCTGCATAGATGAGTTTGATCATCAAACTCGTCTGTATGGATGAGTTTGATGGTCAAACTCATCTGTGTGGATGAGTTTGATGGTCAAACTCATCTGTGTGAATGAGTTTGATGGTCAAACTCTTCTGTGTGGATGAGTTTGATGGTCAAACTCATCTGTGTGAATGAGTTTGATGGTCAAACTCTTCTGTGTGGATGAGTTTGATGGTCAAACTCTTCTGTGTGGATGAGTTTGATGGTCAAACTCATCTGTATAGATGAGTTCGATGGTCCAACTCTTCTGTGCAGATGAGTTTGATGGTCAAACTCTTCTGTGCAGATGAGTTTGATGGTCAAACTCTTCTGTATAGATGAGTTTGATGGTCAAACTCGTCTGTATAGATGAGTTTGATGGTCAAACTCGTCTGTATAGATGAGTTTGATGGTCAAACTCGTCTGTATGGATGAGTTTGATGGTCAAACTCGTCTGTATAGATGAGTTTGATGGTCAAACTCGTCTGTATAGATGAGTTTGATCATCAAACTCGTCTGTATAGATGAGTTTGATCATCAAACTCGTCTGTATAGATGAGTTTGATAGTCAAACTCTTCTGTGCCGATGAGTTTGATGGTCATACTCTTCTATGGAGATGAGTTTGATGGTCAAACTCTTCTATGGAGATGAGTTTGATGCCCAAACTCTTCTATGGAGATGAGTTTGATGCTCAAACTCTTCTATAGAGATGAGTTTGAAGGTCAAGCTCTTCTGTATGGATGAGTTTGATCATCAAACTCTTCTGTATGGATGAGTTTGATCATCAAAATCTTCTGTATAGATGAGTTTGATGCTCAAACTCTTCTATAGAGATGAGTTTGATGCTCAAATTCTTCTATTGAGAGGAGTTTGATGCTCAAACTTTTCTATAGAGAGGAGTTTGATGCTCAAACTTTTCTATAGAGAGGAGTTTGATGCTCAAACTTTTCTATGGAGATGAGTTTGATGCTCAAACTCTTCTATGGAGATGAGTTTGATGCTCAAACTCTTCTATGGAGATGAGTTCGATGCTCAAACTCTTCTATGGAGATGAGTTTGATGCTCAAACTCTTCTATGGAGATGAGTTTGATGCTCAAACTCTTCTATGGAGATGAGTTTGATGCTCAAACTCTTCTATGGAGATGGGTTTGATGCTTCAACTCTTCTATGGAGGCGAGTTTGATGCTCAAACTCTTCTATGGAGATGAGTTTGATGCTCAAACTCTTCTATGGAGATGAGTTTGATGCTCAATCTCTTTTGTATAGATGAGTTTGATGCTAGAACGCTTCTGTATGGATGAGTTTGATGCTCAAACTCTTCTGTTAATACCAGGTTGGAACTCAAACTCTTCTGTATGGATGAGTTTGATGCTCAAACTCTTCTGTTAATACCAGGTTGGAACTCAAACTCTTCTGTAAGATAAATTTCAACATCAAGTACTTCGATATAAATAATATACCTTCATGAAATGCTTCTGTATATTTAAGCTAAAATTTTTAAATAATAATTTTTATTAATCTTTTTTAAACACTTCTCAAGGTATTTCAATTATTTGCCCGTATAAAATCTGTAAATCCTAAGGCTCACGACGGCAAACAAAAAATATTCTTTTCTCCGGCAATTATTTTTTTTATCTCCATACCTTTACATATTTTTTGTTAAGGCTTTTTTGTTTTGCCAACCATAACTTTTCATTTTGGAATATTCATCTCAAATATATATTGCAATGATGTAAAAAAAAACATATTTTCTATAAATCATTAATCCAAAAAAAATAAAATTTCTTTCTTCAACCAAAAACGAAAAAAAATGTTCCTGTGGAAAATATGTTTTTGCTGTGTGTTCGTCTATCACAATTTTTCGATATGTCGCAAAAACAAAAACCGCATATTGAAAAATCCCAAACAAAAAAAATCAATACAATATTGTTATAACAACACACAGTTGGATTTGGTTTTGAATTCCGAAGATGGAGGGGATCTATCCGATTTTATAACAAACGGCGAATGGTATTTAATCGGTTAGTAATAATTTTTGTTCCTATTTTCAAAAAAAAACAGCAACAATTAGTTTGTTTGTTTGTTTCAACAATACGTTTATGTTACACTCTTCAATGTTATCTGTTTTATGTTTTTTTCAAAATATCTCTGTCTATCTGTCCCAAAACTGTCTGTCTAACTAACTGTGTCTATGTCCATTTTTTGGTTTGTCTTTTTTTGTTTCAAATTTATGGTTTTAGTTTTTTTGGCGATTATAATCCAATTATAATTTTGAATATTTTTATAAAAAAAAATTATTATTGATTTTAAAATATTTATGTATATATGATTAAAAATTTTTTAATTATTATAATTTATGTAAATTAAAAAAAATTATTTATATATTTTATATAAAAATTTATTTATGTTGAAATTTTTGCATGGCGTTTATTTAAATATATCTAAGTGCCTTAAATGTTGTTCACAAAAAAAAAAAAAAAAAATTCAAGCGTTTTGAATTTTCATACAATTTTGAATTTTTATAAAATTTTTAATTTTTATTCGAATCAAGCAATTTATTTGGTAAAATTTGGAAATTTATTCTTATAACTATTATCGAGATTTTTTGAGTCATAATCGGCAACGATATGGTTTGAACTGTTTATTATTATTATATATTGAACAGAAAATGCAATTATTCGGAGTCGGCTGCACAGCATGAGTCCAAGCAGAATTTTTTCTACCATGGATGTATTTACTGTTAAATAAATTATAATGGCATGAATTTTTGTATTTTTTTTTTTATTATTTAAATTATTTTTAATATCTTACAGCAAGTGGTCCATTGCATGAGTCTTCCAAAAATGGAATGATATGGGATAGAACATAAATTTTGTCAGTCCGTTTGCAACTCTACCAGAAATTCATCGAAGACCTCATATTATCATCACCGATCACTCCTGGACCTGGTTATTACTTGCCAAAATTTCTTATAAATAAATAGAGATAATTTAGCCTTACTTTATTTTTTTTTTTTAAATTTTGTATTTGACTCGGAAGAAGAATAAAATAGCTCAGCTCATGTTAATACAATAGGAATTCGTGTAACGCCATCTATAAGTCAACAATTTTACCTATCTAACAAGGCAATATCAAGCAAAAATAATTATCAGAAGTCAGTTTTACAAAGCCAATACTTAAAAAAAGGCATGTCCTACTTAAAAAAATATATAAAAAGTATGGCATAACACTAATAAATAAATATTAAAATTGACATGTAGATGGCGTTGCTCAAGGGACAAGGGCTTTTATTAATTTTTCGAATTCTGCAAAACTTAAAAAAATATATTAACGATATTTTTTAAAGTTTTGTAGAATTCGAAAATAAATTTACGAGAAAAAATTAATAAAAGCTTTTGATTTAGTCTTATTAATCGAGGCCTAGTTGTTGCTTCCCTAAATGCTATTTAGAGGACCATATAAGATTGGAACAGTGGAAAGTCTCTACGAAAACTCTTCGAACTCTTGGTTGAAGTAACATTTGAAAATAATTCCGAAAAAAACAGCTAAGTTCGGCCGGGTCGAACTTATAACACCGTCCACCATTTTAAAAGAATTTGAAAATTAAAAACAAAAAAAAATTAAAAAGTATCAGTCGGTTTTGCCTACAGTTGTATACCCTTCAGTCAATGTAGGATTATAAAAAAAAATATTTTGACTTCTGCTATAATTACTCAAATAGTTTACCCTCGATGACGTAGGTTCCGAAAGAATGGATCAAAATTGTCCATTTTGTATCGGATCTAAATATATTTGATATAAATATTGCGATGTGGCAGGTTTGGTCTGTTTTAGTTACTTCCTTTACTTTACATGAGATGTGCGATATTTTTAGGAAAGATTTTATAATTTTCTAAAAATTTAGTGGGATTTAATTTATACTTCGTCGAATAAAGATAAAAATATTAGTACGAGCAGAATTGCAAGAAATTTACACATTTATATCCAATTTTATGCGAAATCATAAATTCCATATTCATCTCAGGTTTCAAAATCTTGAACCCTATGTAGGGAAGGAACCAGAAGATATGATCTGATCTCTACCATCTTTATAACAGATCTTGAGTTAATGGCAATATTGTGGTATGCCAAGTTTGAAGGGAATCGGATATTAATTTCGCGTTTTATAAGCTTCATGGATATTCAAAATGTTGAATCTTTGTGGGGGAGGTATCAGAAGAAGTGGACCCATATATCCCATTTTCACAGTAGATCTTGTGTTAATAGAAATAATGGGATGTGTGAAATATTGTATGGAGGGTAAATTAGTTTCGTCATTCCATTTGTAACTCATCGAAATAATAATTTTAGACCTAACAAAGTATATATATTCTTGATCAGCGTAAAATTCCAAGACGATATAGCCCTTTCCGTCTGTCCGTCTGTTGTAATCACGCTAGAGTCAAAACGAATAAAGATAGGAAGCTAAAGTTTTACACAAATCAGTCATTTGTCAGCAGTCAGATCAAGTTCGAAGATGGGCTATATAGGTCCACGATATCGTATAGCCCCCATATAACGGTACCCCCCGATATTCGGTATTTAGATGATTTTAGCCACATTTTCCAACAGAATTGTCTGAAAATTCACACAAGGAGTTCCTTGTGAGTACTTTATCCCCTGAAGAGAATTACCTATAGATGTCCCCCTATAACGGTACCTGACGATATTCGGTATTTTGATGATTTTTGCTACATTTTTCCACGAATTTGTCTAAAAGTTGGTATTTGTGACTAAACATTGTATGTATAGGTCCACGTTCTGGTTTAGCCCCCCCTATAACGGTACCTGACAATATTCGGTATTTTGATGACTTTAGTCTGATTTTTCAAGGGAATTGTCTGAAATTCTACACAAAGAGTTCTTTGTGTGTACTTTACCCCCTGAAATAGAATTGTCTATAGGTCCACAATATCGTATACACGCCCCCCCCCCCCCCCCCCTTTTATCGGCACTTTCCGATATTGGGTACATTTAAGATTTTAACAGATTTTTAATGGATTTTATTTTCTGAAAAATGCCTAATTCGTCCCAAATGGTGAAGGGTATTCAAATTCCGGCCCGGCCGAACTTTACTTGCTTTTTTACTTACTTTTACTTTTGTTATTCGAAATTTCGACCAATTGTGGGGTAGGTACTAGAAGAAATGGTGAGATTTCTACCATCTTTATATCTGATCTTGTGTTGATAGTTATCAGATACAGCTCAGAAATGAGTGTTTAAAATTTTGTCAAGATCAGTTCAGATTTTGATATAGGTCCCATATATATTTATGTCCAATTTGAGGTTAATTGTGTACCAAATGGTTAATATCAGCTCAACTTGAGTGAATTTTGGCACATCCGATGGAATTCAGTCCAGAAGCAAGTATATCAAATTTAATGAAAATCGATTTAGATTTAGCTATAGCTCCCATATATATGTTTCTTCCGATTTGGTGTTTAAGTCCCTCACATACGTAATATGCACTCCACAGCAATGATATTTGATACCGGGCATCAGATACTGCTCGAAAATAACTCTGCCAAATTTTATCGAGATCGGAGAAGATTTGAATAAAGATCCCATATATATCTTTATCCTGAAAGTCCTGAAATTTGGTACATCCGACCGAATTCAGTCTAGAATCAAATTTGGTGAAAATCGGTTCAGATATAGCTTTAGCTCCCATATATATATTACATTCGATTTGGTGTTTTAGTCCCTCACGTGCGTAATTTGCACTCCACAACAATGATATTTGGTACCAGATATCAGGTACTGCTCGAAAACACATCTGTCAAATTTTATAGAGATCGTAGAAGATTTGTATATAGCTCCCATATATATCTTTATCCGATTTGTGGTTTATTGTACACCAAATGGCCAATATCAGTCCAAATGACCTAAATTATGGCAATTCCGACGGAATTCAGTCCAGAAATAAGTATATCAAATTTAGTGAAAATCGGTTTAGGTTTAGCTATGGCTCCCATACATATGTTTCATCCGAAAATATCTCTGCCAAATTTTATCGAGATCGGAGAAGATTTGGATATAGCTCCCATATATAACTTTATCCGATTTCAGGTTTACTATGCACCAAATGGCTAATATCAGTCCAGAAGTCTTGAATTTTGGTACATCCGACCGAATTCAGTCTAGAAGCAAGTACATCAAATTTAGTGAAAATCGGTTCAGATATAGCTTACAGCTCTCATATATATGTTTCTTCCGATTTGTTGTTTCAGGTCCCTCACGTGCTTAATATACACTTCACAACAATGATATTTTATACCAGGTATACCAGGTTTATTGAGATAGGTTCAGATTTTTATATAGGTTCGATCTTCCGATTTTGCGGTTATTGCTCACCATATATTTAATATCAGCCGAAATTGAATAGATTTTCTTTTATATTCAATCGAATTTTACCATTTGGTGAAACTCGGTCTGATCTGCTTCACATAAATTCCCAATAAAAACTTTTTTTGTTACGGGAGCCCTACTAAATATGCATAATGGTGTAGGGTATCATGAAGACGATCCCCACAGACTTTTGACCTTTCTTTACTGGTTGTATTCATATTTTTTTATTTAATATTTAAAATTGATACTGAATCTTTGAAAATTGGCTTTATAAAGCAACGCAAGGCTTAAGTAATATCCTTGAATTTTGACAGGACTATTTTTTTTTTTTTTTTTTTTTTTGAATAATTGATGAAGTTGGTGTCCAATTTATTTCCAGGCCATGGTGATGAAATAATCCTTTAAAAAATATATATGCATGAAATTCTTCTGGCTACAATGGACCAATTGTTGTGGTTCGAGTTGGTTACTTTACTCTTGAAATATAAATTTTTTAAGGTTGTAATATATGCACCACCTAGTTGCATATGTATGATATAATGTATTTGTGTATATGTGTGTGTTTGCCTGCTTGCATGTGAATATTTTTTAGGTTTTCCACCACTCCACTCGATTTTCATTTTGCCGATAAATATTTAAACAATTTGGCCGTTGTTAACGATCAATTAAATGGAATCTGCATGGCAATGATGAAATGTGAAGAGGATATATTTTTTCAATTTTATTTTTCATTTTTAATTTTTTATGCATGTGTTTGTAAATGTATTTGGATATGTTAAAGTGTGTACACTTCAATGTCTGGGACTTCACTATATAATGCCATATTTATGTGTATGAGTGTGTGCGTGTAAAAGAAAAAATTTTGTCCAATGAAAATCATGTTTAACATAATTTTACTAATTAATTTCATTGAAATATAAAACTCCACTCCACTCGTTTGCCGGACGCTCTTGGATGCTGAAATATGATGATGGATCACTTTGGAAAATATGGAATTCCTGTTGCCGCCACACAGCCATGCCGGGCAAAAAGAATACCATCGTCTATGCCTGCTGTCCGGAACCGTATGTGGATGTAACGTTCACAATACAAATACGACGACGGACATTATATTATTTTTTTAATTTAATTGTGCCGTGTGTGCTGATATCCTCAATGGCTTTATTAGGATTTACATTACCACCCGATTCGGGTGAAAAACTAACCTTAGGTATGTATGGAACCAATAGAAATTTTTTTTTTTTTTTTTATTTTTACAATATTTTTTTTCAAAATTTATTTAAAATGGGACACAACATTATTTCAAAAATATTATTTCAAAAACAAAACGCAATATTTTTTTTTAGTTTTTAAGAATTTCTCTATTACAGCCACCAAAAAAATATAACAAATATCAAAAGAAAAAAACCACAAAATTGAGTTTTTAGGTAAAAAAAAAAAAAAACGAAAAAAATACATCTCAAATATCGTCGAAAGGAAAAATTAAAAAAAAAAAAAAAAAAACAAAATCTACAAAACTATATAAGCCAGCTATTTGTGTTTTTTTAGGATATCCCGGTAGCGAAATGAGGCAATGCTGGATTGTGTAAAAATTTATAAAAAAAAGATATTAAAAATAGTTTAAAAAAATTCTTCGTTAATAAAAAACTTAATAAAAAAGTGTTTTATGAAAATGTCACGAGTTTGCATGATTTATGCTTCAACAACTATTTTTTTACAAAAATTAAAAAATAAAAATTTTAAATATTAAAAAATTAAAAAAATAATAAAAGTCAAGTTCATAGCAACAGAATTTCTTTCTAATTTGCGATTTCCCACAAAATTACACGTTTTAAAAAAAATAAATGTTTGCAGCCTAAAAGTATGCAATTATTACCTTTGATTTGTGTTAGATTCGTTTTAAGGTTTCAAAAATAGTAAAGAGCCCCTAAAAATATGCTATTAAAAGGCTATATAAACGTCAAAATAATCACTCTACATATGACTTTAGCATGTTTTGTAACCTAGACTTTCGTGGATAATTGATCTGCTGTAGTCAGTTCCATGTGATGGAGCTGCCATCTACGGTTGCCTAGAAATAACGTCATCTTCTATTTTTATAGTGTTTGCAGACTTTGCTATTTTAGTGTTGTTCTTTATCTCTAGGTGGCCGTATATTCTTAAAAGGTTGTACTCCGATATTGGTGCCGAGATTGTTATTAGATGTCAGATGGTCTCGGATAAATTTCATCAGTAGAGGATTCTAATGGCGAATTTCTAAACTGGGAATCATAGATGGCATCCCCTAATACTATTAGCCTAGAAATTGGTGGTGAGGACATTTAAAACACCAACTAATACCGGAGGGGCCCAATAAAAAAAATCTGGATATATATTGCACTTAATACTCATTACGTTCTAAGAATTTCTGGTGGAAAACACGATCAGGATCTTCAAAGAAGCCGGAATCGGTCGAAGCTGCTATGTGGGGCTTATGTTAAAACGTGGACCGATGTAGATCATTTTTCGTAGTGGGAATATTCATCCATTTAGAGTCCGCAATGGGAACAAATCCTCAGCCTATGGTAAAACATTTCCCTACAAAATCCACGAAAAAAGATCAAAGTCAAGGTGGACAGTTTCCCATAAAATCTGAAAAACAGAGCATAGGATAGGCATAAAACACCTAAAAAAAAGGATTGCAAATTTTCTTTAAAAAAACGTCAAAAAAGCAGAATTAAGGATAGACAATTCACCTTAAATGATCCTGAGCCTTGAGTAGAAAATAATTTCCTCAAAAAAGTGTTGAGTCCAAAGTACAACATTTCTTAAAAAATCTACGGCTGATAAGCAGAACCTAAGGTGGAAGAAAATTTAGGGTAGAAAATTTCTTGATAAGCAGAGCTCAAGGTGGAGGATTCCTTTAAAAAAATTGAGTCTGAGGTAGAAAATTTCTTTGAAATTCCTCGCCTGATAAGCAGAGCCTAAGGTGGAAGATTCCTTTAAAAAAACTTTAATCCAAAGTACAACATTTCTTTAAAAATTAACGCCTGATAAGCAGAACCTTAGGTGAAAGATTCCTTTAAAAAATCTTGAGTCTAGGCTAGAAAAGTTCTTTAAAAATCCACACCTGATAAGCAGAGTCTAAGGTGGAAGATACCTTTAAAAATCTTGAGTCTAGGGTAGAGATTTCCTTTAGAAATCCACACCTAATAAGCAGGGTCTAAGGTGAAAGATACCTTTAAAAAGTCTTGAGTTTAGGGTCGAAAATTTCTTTAAAAATCCACGCCTGATAAGCAGAGCCAAAGGTGGAAGATTCCATTACAAAATCTTGAGTCTAGGGTAGAAAATTTCTTTAAAAATCAACGCCTGACAAGCAGATCTTAAAGTGGAAGATTCATTTAAAACAATCTTGAGTCTAGGCTAGAAAAGTTCTTTAAAAATCCACGCCTGATAAGCAGAGCCAAAGGTGGAAGATTCCATTATAAAATCTTGAGTCTAGGGTAGAAAATTTCTTTAAAAATCAACGCCTGACAAGCAGATCTTAAAGTGGAAGATTCATTTAAAACAATCTTGAGTCTAGGCTAGAAAAGTTCTTTAAAAATCCACGCCTGATAAGCAGAGCCAAAGGTGGAAGATTCCATTACAAAATCTTGAGTCTAGGGTAGAAAATTTCTTTAAAAATCAACGCCTGACAAGCAGATCTTAAAGTGGAAGATTCATTTAAAACAATCTTGAGTCTAGGCTAGAAAAGTTCTTTAAAAATCCACGCCTGATAAGCAGAGCCAAAGGTGGAAGATTCCATTATAAATCTTGAGTCTAGGGTAGAAAATTTCTTTAAAAATCAACGCCTGACAAGCAGATCTTAAAGTGGAAGATTCATTTAAAACAATCTTGAGTCTAGGCTAGAAAAGTTCTTTAAAAATCCACGCCTGATAAGCAGAGCCAAAGGTGGAAGATTCCATTACAAAATCTTGAGTCTAGGGTAGAAAATTTCTTTAAAAATCAACGCCTGACAAGCAGATCTTAAAGTGGAAGATTAATTTAAAACAATCTTGAGTCTAGGCTAGAAAAGTTCTTTAAAAATCTGATGAGCAGAGCTCAAAGTGGAAGAAACCTTTAAAAATCTTGAGTCTAGGGTAGAAAATTTCTTTAAAAATTCACGCCTGATAAGCAGAGTCTAAGGTGGAAGATACCTTTAAAAAATCTTAAGTCTAGGCTAGAAAAGTTCTTTAAAAATCCACGCCTCAATGTAATAGCCTAGTGTGGAAAATAATTTTATAATATCCTGACCCAAGGGTAGTAAAGATCCTTCAACATCCACACCTTAAAAAATTAGAACAATGTGAGGAAAATTTCTTTAAAAAATCCACGCCTAAAAAGGTAAACCTAAGGTGGACAATTTCCATAAAATTCCTGAGGCTAGCATAGGAAATGTATTTTAAAATAGGCTGCGGAAAAAATTTTTAAAAAATCATGGGCGTGGGGTTGAAAATGTCCTCAAACATCCACACCTAAAAATCGGAACCTAGTGGGGAAAATCTCTTTCAAAAATCTTGAGCCAACGATAAAATTTTAAAAAATCTATGCCTAAAAAGCAGGACACAAAGTGGCAAATTTTCGCAATAATTCTGATGCTAGGATAGAAAATGTCTTTAAAAAATCCTTAGCCTTGAGAAGAAAAATAACTTAATAATTTACTCATAAAAAACGGAGGCTAGTGTAGAAAATGTCGTAAAAAGATGTGGAAGGTAGTTGTTTAAAAACAATCCAGCCAAAAAAAAACAGAGCCTAGAGTGGAAAATATCTTTAAAAAATCCTTGTCCTAAGTACAAACTATCCTTCAATATTTACACCTAAAAAATCAGAACAGAATTAGAATTTTTACCTCAAAAATTTAAGGTTTAAAAAAAAAATTGAGCAAAAACAATGATTTCAAAAGCTGAACGTAGTGTGAAAATTTTCCCTTACAAAATGAACCCATAAATAGCAGAGCCTGGGGTCAAACATTTCCTTAACAAATATACGCTTAAAAAGCAATTACAGAAATATCTTAATTGAAGTTTTAAAAATATATCCTGAAAATACCGTAGGAATTTTTTTTAAATTATTCTGAGCATAGTGTAGAAAATTTCCTCATCAAATCCACACCGAAAACAAACGAAACCTTCATAATATCAAAAATCGAATTTTTCTGCCTAAAAGTTTATCTTTGAGAACCTTATCCCTCCTCCTTTGAAAAAATATTCTTTAAAAATCCACGTCTGATGGTCTTTTGGTCCTTGAAAAAATATTCTTTAAAAATCCACGTTTGATGGTCTTTTGGTCCTTGAAAAAATATTCTTTAAAAATCCACGTTTGATGGTCTTTTGGTCCGTTGAAAAGAAAATATTCTTTAAAAAATCTAAGTTTGATAGTCTTTTGGTCCTTTGAAAAAATATTCTTTAAAACATCCCCGTTTATTGATCTGATGGTCCTTGAAAAAATATTCTTTAAAAAACACACTTCGATGGTCTTTTGGTCCTTAAAAAAAATATTCTTTAAAAAATCCACTTTTGATGGTCTTTTGGTTCTTTAAAAAAAATATTCTTTAAAAAATCTACGTTTGATGGTCTTTCGGTCCTCGAACAAAATTTATTCATTAAGAAATCCACGTGTTATGGTCTTTCGGTTCTTGAAAAAATATTCTTTAAAAAATTCACGTTTATTGGTCCTTGAAAAAATATTCTTTAAAAAATTCACGTTTATTGGTCCTTGAAAAAATATTCTTTAAAAAATTCACGTTTATTGGTCCTTGAAAAAATATTCTTTAAAAAATTCACGTTTATTGGTCCTTGAAAAAATATTCTTTAAAAAATTCACGTTTATTGGTCCTTGAAAAAATATTCTTTAAAAAATTCACGTTTATTGGTCCTTGAAAAAATATTCTTTAAAAAAATCACGTTTGATGATCTTTTGAAAAAATATTCTTTAAAAAATCCACGTTTATTGGTCCTTGAAAAAAATATTCTTTAAAAAATCCACGTTTATTGGTCCTTGAAAAAAATATTCTTTAAAAAATCCACGTTTATTGGTCCTTGAAAAAATATTCTTTAAAAAATCCACGTTTATTGGTCCTTGAAAAAAATGTTCTTTAAAAAATCCACGTTTATTGGTCCTTGGAAAAAATATTTTTTAAAAAATCCACGTTTATTGGTCCTTGGAAAAAATATTCTTTAAAAAACTCCACGT